TTGGAAATATGTTTTTATAGTTTCTTCAATGCTGAGGAAAAAGTCGTTTCTCTAGGTAGGTGGAAAATTTCCTAGGAGATTTGTTTTTTTTTTTTTTTTTTGTGCAGGTGGTTTTTGGAGGAGAACTCTCAGGCATGCTACCTATGATGGGGTGAAGAAGGAGAAATTTGGTAGAGGGAAAAAATCTGAAGCTGGGATGGCCCTTTTTTTTTTTTTTTTTTTTAGTCAAGTGGGCCCAGCCTTGGGACCCCTCCCTTGTTTGGAGACTGCCCAGGGCCTGAGAAATAGGTCAAGGCTGCTGACTTCAACCAACGGCAGTGTCTGGGATTTTTTTTTTTTTTTTTTCTCTGTAGATAGCACTCCCAACAGGAGGAGTCTGTGCCCCCAGTTTTTTTTTTTTTTTTTTATCTGCTTAAGTGACCCAGTGACTCTATGTAAGTCAAAGAAATTTTTTTTTTTTTTTTTTTCATGTCCTTGCGTCCTCAGAAATGCATTTGACAAAGAAAAAGGTTTTTTTTTTTTTTTTTTGCAGAGAAGAATGATGTAGAAAAAAGAGCTGGAAAATTTTCTATTTTTTTTTTTTTTTTTTGATTGTTTTATGGCTTAAATCCAAAAGAATCGAAGAATAGGTATTTTTTTTTTTTTTTTTTCCTCTTAGAAATTAGAAAGTCGATGCATACTAACAGATTTGCTGAAACTTAGGAAAAGTAATATGAAGCAACAGAGAGGAAACAGAGTCAGTCCGATTTACATCTTTTTTTTTTTTTTTTTTACACGAGATGCAATGGAAGAAAAGGCAAAATAAGGAAGACTGGTTTTTTTTTTTTTTTTTTAGGCAGTCAGGTCCCCAAATCCCATTCCCTATTCCCATCCCAGTTTTTTTTTTTTTTTTTTTTTCTGGAGGAAACTTTTTTTTTTGAGGTGACATAGAAAAAGTTTTTTTTTTTTTTTTTTTAGTTCAGGGCAGGGGACCACCCTGACCACCAGGATCCAATGCACACCCCCACCCTGAAGCTGAGACTCCCCCAGCCCCATCCTGCTGCTCCCTCCTGCTCCCTGGCCTTCTGCTTCCTGAATGGATATTGGATAGACTTTTCTGGGGAGTCTGATCAACCTAAAGACAGAATTTTAAAAGTTTCTCCATGCTGGCCAGGCACGGTGGCACCCGCCTGTAATCCCAGTTTTTTTTTTTTTTTTTTCGGTAGATCACCAGGTCAAGAGATCTAGACCATCCTGGCCAACTTTTTTTTTTTTTTTTTTTACTAAAAATACAAAAAAATTAGCCAGGCATATTGGTGGGAGCCTGTGGTCCCACCTACTCCAGATGCTGAGGCAGGAGAATCACTTGAACCCGGGAGGCGGAAGTTGCAGTGAGCCGAGGTGGCGCCACTGCATTCTAGCGTGGCGACACAGAGAGAGTCCATCTTTTTTTTTTTTTTTTTTAAATAAAAAAGTTTCTCCATCCTGACCGTTCAGGCATGTCATCTCATAGTGCGGCTCACCGGCCACAGTCCTCCTTAGGTGCCCAGATTTCCTGTCCTTTTCATTTTTTTTTTTTTTTTTTTAATGCATGGTGTTTCCATGAGAAGAACAAGAGACAAACAAACATTTTTTTTTTTTTTTTTTAGAAAATGGAGGGAATGTATTCAGAGACGGAATGAAACACAACTTTTTTTTTTTTTTTTTTATCTCAGATATCTCAGAGTGAAAAAAACATCAACATGGTCACCTTTTTTTTTTTTTTTTTTCTTCAAAAAGCAACATTCCGATAACACGAAGGAACTCTTGGAATTTTTTTTTTTTTTTTTTAGCAAAATTCAGTGAAATTATGTCCCGTGAAAACTCACCAAATTCTCCTGAAACTAGAGTTAAGGGATGAAGTAATATGAAATATTAACAGCAGGGGTAAGAAATTTTTTTTTTTTTTTTTTAAGATCCAACAGCCAAACGTAGGACCAGTGATTGAATAAATCTGAAGAATGATCATTTCTAAATTAGAATTCCATACCCAGCCAAATAATCAATTAAATGTGAGTTTTTTTTTTTTTTTTTTAAGGCATATGGCATCTTGGAAATTCACCTCATGAGCTTTTCCTTTTTTTTTTTTTTTTTTTTGTAAACCCCCAAAAGGAGAAAGAAGGGGATGAGGCACAGGATACAGGGAACAGGGGATCCAGCACTGCAGTGCACAGAGCGGTAGAAACTCATCAGGCATGATTTTTTTTTTTTTTTTTTTTGAGAGGCTCCAAGAGATATTTCTTCAGAAAAGAACTGATAGATTTTTTTTTTTTTTTTTTAGAACTGGCAATGCATTTGGGTTGAATTAGTTAGAAAAGGGAATTTTTTTTTTTTTTTTTTAGCTGTAGAAAAAAAAAAATGAAGCGGTACAGGGATAGAAAATTTTTTTTTTTTTTTTTTTTGAACTAAGAATTACATTTATGTCATCCTAATACTGTAAAGGCTTTTTTTTTTTTTTTTTTTACTATTTATGGGGGAATGGGTGAGGGTTTGGTGGGAAGCATATTTTTTTTTTTTTTTTTTAGAATAAATGTTTTATCTCCACATTTCCTGAGGGGAATCTACATTTTTTTTTTTTTTTTTTAAAATCAAGAAGAGCATAAAACATGTTATTCTCAGAAAAGGAGTTTTTTTTTTTTTTTTTTAAAGATATGGAAATATTTGCCTTTGAGAAAGAAGAATTTGAGATTTTTTTTTTTTTTTTTTTTTTGTTATTTTGTAAAATACTCTGGAATTATTTTATCTTAATTTTTTTTTTTTTTTTTTTAGTTTGAGTAAAAACTTGTTAAAAAGATGGACAGGAGAGAAAATTTTTTTTTTTTTTTTTTTGCCAGACAAAAAGAAGGGTTCATTTATTGGCCTGAATGAACTGCTTCTATATTTTTTCTGCGATGACTTTAGTTGTAAATCAGCAAACCAGTTTCTGAGCAACTTTTTTTTTTTTTTTTTTTTACATAACGTTGTTAAATATATTCTGATTATTAGCATTCTAATTTTTTTTTTTTTTTTTTTTCTAGATTTCTATTTTTATAATCTTATTGTAAACTCCTTTTGTTTTTTTTTTTTTTTTTTGAAACGTATATTTCAATAAATGATTAGTCTACCACTGAGATATTTTTTTTTTTTTTTTTTTATATCATACAATAAAAATGTCAGAGCTGAAGACCTCATTAATTTTTTTTTTTTTTTTTTTTATATTCTACCTAGGCGAAGGTGAAGTTTACCTTTGAATGCCTATTTTTTTTTTTTTTTTTTAAGCATCATTATAAGGATATCTTGTTCATTTCTTTAAAAGAAACCGAAGATTGAATGTATATTATTTGAGATTCTTTTTAATTAAATAAATAGGTATACTGAGTTTTTTTTTTTTTTTTTTTCTCATTAAGTATTTTGTTCAGGCGTTCTGCTACATGAGAATGCAAAACTAAGAATGTATAGTTTATGCTTTTAAATTGACAGATAAGAAAATTGAAATTAAAATTTTTTTTTTTTTTTTTTTGAAAAATGACAATAATTGCTATAATTAAGGGTTAAGCAAAATGTTTTTTTTTTTTTTTTTTGAGTACAAGCTTCATACAGGGAGTTTCACTTGAACTACATTTGTTTTTTTTTTTTTTTTTTTGTAGAGGAATTGGTGGAGGACATTTTAGAAAGAAACAGTGACTTTTTTTTTTTTTTTTTTTTGGGTGCTCTGGGACGAGCCAATGCTTCAGGAATGTGGGAACATTGAGCAGTGAGCCTGGAGAGAGAGGAGAGACCTTTAGATTTTATTGTTTAGGTTGAAGCTTTTTTTTTTTTTTTTTTACTATTGTTATTCACAGTAGCCCAAATTTTCATGTTATTTCTATGTGCTAGCCACTGAACCAAGCATATTACATGAAAAAATCTCATGTAATCCTTACAACAACTCTACTATTATCCCCATTTTTAAGTTTTTCAAGCATGACATTAATATGACAAAATTTGTCTTTTTTTTTTTTTTTTTTTCCCACGAATAAATGGTTCAGTCAAGTAGAAAAAAAATACACAATTTTTTTTTTTTTTTTTTTAAAAATATTCTATGTAATACAGCAAGGTAAAGGATTGGAAAGTTTTTTTTTTTTTTTTTTTTTTATTCTTTTCACTACTTCCAAAGTTTTAAAATGTGCATCTTTTTTTTTTTTTTTTTTTATGTGTGTTATCAGAGGAAGAAGAGAAAAAGGGAAGGAAGAGTTTCAGCAAGGAGGAATAAAGTGAAGAGAGAACAAGAGAAGCAGAGACAGACAATTCCTGATAGGCACAATTGGAGGACAGATCAAATGAGAAGATGAACAGCAGAGAGACTCCTTCGTGATGTTTTTTTTTTTTTTTTTTGAAGCCTCAATTCAGGCAGACTTCTATAGAAAGCAAATGGAGATTTTTTTTTTTTTTTTTTGAAATGTTTAGAAAATAAATCAAAATGACCCGATCACCCATTGGACACATAGATGGTTTTGCCCATTCTCCCAGACAGGGAGAGAGAAGACTTGATGAGGCTTCTTTTTTTTTTTTTTTTTTACATGGTTCCTAGAGCTATGACGTGATGATTTGTTGCTTATTTTTTTTTTTTTTTTTTTTTAATGTCAGTTTATGCATTGCATACATTGGTCACATTCCTGTTATTTTTTTTTTTTTTTTTTCATGTACTTGATCTCCAGGTTGATCCAGAACCTCAAGTTCTGACTTTGACTTAATGAAATCTTCTATTCTGTATTCCCAACAACCCAGAACTTTCATGGTGTGATTTTTTTTTTTTTTTTTTAGAACAACTTGAGGAATCTAACAATACTGGTTTGAGACCATGGTTTTTTTTTTTTTTTTTTGTATTGACTTGATTTTCCTTTTAAAAAAAGTCTAATTGCCTGTTTTTTTTTTTTTTTTTTTATGTTAAAGCAACAGCTTCACTCTACTATGTCGCAAATGTATTTTTTTTTTTTTTTTTTTTTGCTTCCTTCTTCCTACAGGGCTTTATGAAACCTTTCTAACCATTTTTTTTTTTTTTTTTTGTGACGTCAGGAGAGAAGAAAAATCAAATAACCCATCCAAAGGTTTTTTTTTTTTTTTTTTCTCCTGTCACAGGACATCGCTCACAGTGTCATCAGCAACAAGATTTTTTTTTTTTTTTTTTAAGCTGTGTGTTCTTGTACTGATTCTCTTACACACAGTGCTCATTTTTTTTTTTTTTTTTTATACAGCCGGACTGAGCTTTGGAGGCATCAACACGCTGGAAGAAAACTCAACTAATGAGGAGTAACGGAAGGACGAGTGTCACCACAGCAGCAGCTGGCCCGCCTTTTTTTTTTTTTTTTTTTGTCTCATGTAACAGAAACTGGGTGCTTTTACCCTCGAATTACTTTTTTTTTTTTTTTTTTGGTAAAATTTAAACAGATGGGCCTGAATCCAAACAAGGACACATTTTTTTTTTTTTTTTTTCTAAAAGGCTGGAAAGTGACTTTAAATTTCTCACACCATTTTATTTTTTTTTTTTTTTTTTTTGGAGGTTTTATTTGCTTTCGTTTTGGTTTGGGTTTATTTGTTTTTTTTTTTTTTTTTTTTGTTAATGCAGGATTTATTTTGGGGGATGGTTTCTCAGAGGTAAACTAAGTCTTTTCACTGTCTCTATCTCTCTATATTTCTAGTCATTGTGTGTGTTCATCAGTTTTTTTTTTTTTTTTTTCCTGTCAGTTTCTATTAGAGGAATGATTGCTATGACCTCATGGTTTTTTTTTTTTTTTTTTCAAAAAAAGAATAAAAAATAAAAAAGACAAAAAAAAGAAAACATTTTTTTTTTTTTTTTTTAAAAATCCCTAAGTCTCCCTTCTACCCACAGAACCAATACCCTTTTTTTTTTTTTTTTTTTCTCGCCCTCTTCTCGTCCCCTAAGCAAACAACATCCGCTTGCTTTTTTTTTTTTTTTTTTTGTGAATGGGTGTGCACACTTGGTGGGCCTCTGAGCCCCTGTTGCACAAACCCAAACCAGAGCGGAGCCAAGGGGGCCTGGCAGGAGTTCCTTTTTAGCTGAACATTTTTTTTTTTTTTTTTTTAGGTGGAATCAGACAGTTAACACATTTTTATGTTGAAAACTATTTTTTTTTTTTTTTTTTAAAAAAAAAAACACTATCATGAACTGTATTGCTCCAGTTCCCATTTTTTTTTTTTTTTTTTCTTTCTTGCTGGTCCAGTTGGACAGGAGCAGCTATCTAGAATCAGGATGCAGAGAGTGAGGAAGTTTTTTCCTTTGACAATGGAGGTGGGCTTTCATTGTGATTTTTTTTTTTTTTTTTTTTTATACGAGCACATTTTGGCCATTGTAATTACAGGGAACAAAGGGATTGCGGACACATATCTGGACTTCTTTTCCTCCCTTATTGTTGTGGAAGAGACACTAGAATTTTTTTTTTTTTTTTTTTATACAGAATATATACAATTTTATTCCAGTATTTCCCTAACATATGGTTTAAAATTATTCCAGGTATACAGTGTATGCAATTCTGCATTATCACAGAGGAACAATTTTTTTTTTTTTTTTTTAATAGGTCAGCCATTTTTATTAATGTGCAAAAACTATCACTCTTTTTTTTTTTTTTTTTTTGAGGAAAAGAGGTCTGATCACTCTGTTTGTATTTTTTTTTCTTTTTTTTTTTTTTTTTTTTGCTGAGTGTATATGAATTTGCTTTCTATAAAAGGCTTTTATGAGTTTACAGTAGAATCAGTGGAAGGAAGAGTTAATAAGGGCTGTTTTTAAAAAAAAACAAACAAACAAAACAAATAATTAAAAAAAAAACATTTTACATTCCTTCCTATTCTCTAACTACACTTTTTTTTTTTTTTTTTTTTAAGTTTGCAGTGTGACTGAGAGATGAAGGAAATCCATAGAAATTTTTTTTTTTTTTTTTTAAATTTAGTTATTAACTTTATAGCTATGAAATTTCCCCGGGCATTTTTTTTTTTTTTTTTTGATTTTAACCTCTGCATCATACTTAACCCTGCAACATGCGTACTTTTTTTTTTTTTTTTTTTGAAAAAAAATGTTTTGTTCCAGTCTGTTAAGAATATTCAAAATTTTTTTTTTTTTTTTTTAATAAAATTGCTAGAATTGTTTAGCAGTACATGCACAATATTTTTTTTTTTTTTTTTTTTTAATAGTGTTTTGTTGAGACTGAAAATCCTAAAATGGTCTGCGCAAATACAAAAAAAAAAAAACCCACCAAAAATGCAACATTCTCCCCGTTTTTGTTCCTTTAAATTTTTTTTTTCTGCAAATGCAAAAACATTACATGTGGACAGACACATACACATAGGCATCTTTTTTTTTTTTTTTTTTATATCGTGCTTTTCTGGGGACACAAGCTGAGGAAGTGAATGGCTTTTTTTTTTTTTTTTTTTTGCATGGAATCGTTGACTATGAAACACTTGTAGAAATGAGCATTTTTTTTTTTTTTTTTTGTGGTGGAATGCAGATTCCAGTGGTGCTGGGCGGACAAGAAGCTTTTTTTTTTTTTTTTTTAGAGATTCCTGAGGAAGAGCTCACAGGGTGATTTTATTCAGATGACCTCTAGGTGAATGGCCAGGAAAGAGTCTGTTCTGACCTTTATCTACCTCTGCTGTGGTAAGGCCACTCCACATGCCATCTCACCATGTCTTCAGTGTTCCTCATGCTGCTTCTCCCTGTTTTTTTTTTTTTTTTTTTCTTGCCGGAAGATGACAAAGCAAATGCGAATTCCACTCACTTTTTTTTTTTTTTTTTTTTTCTTAGCAAAATGATGAAAAACAGTATTCCTTAAAAGATAGGTTTTTTTTTTTTTTTTTTTTTTTGAACTGACTAAAGTTCTTTACAAATACAAGAGGATCAGAATTTTTTTTTTTTTTTTTTTTTAGCGTTTGTTTGGAGATAGTGCCAACCAAAAGCTGGAAAATTTTTTTTTTTTTTTTTTTCCATAAGAGGTACGCCCCCCAAAACAGTTTTGAAAGTTGGGAGAAACACTGCAGTCTTCATTGTAAATATAAAGTGATAATTTAGGTGAGGAAGGAACAGTAATTTTTTTTTTTTTTTTTTTCCTTTCTCCGTATCAAGTCACCCAGCGTTGGAACAGTCTCTGATGCTGGCGGAATCTTTTTCTTGTCATGTTCATCTGTTCTATTACAGGAGAATGATTTCAGTTTTTTTTTTTTTTTTTTGTAAGTGTGTAACCACTTTCTCACAATATTTCCATTGGACATGTTTTTTTTTTTTTTTTTTTTCTGGGGTCAGCCAGAGGATCTAAATAGGCAACAACTCCTTTTTTTTTTTTTTTTTTTTTCACTGATGATGCAGATTTCACCACATCCATTCATTCTTTGTAGTTTTTTTTTTTTTTTTTTCTTGAGCATGCTTAAGGTTGTGCACATGTTCATTTTGAATGAGTTTTTTTTTTTTTTTTTTCTTTGTAATCATCTTGTTTAGTTTTTCCTGTAGAGGATGTCTATTTTTTTTTTTTTTTTTTACTACAATATTAAAATAATTATTTCTGCAAGCAAGTTGAAAACTTTTTTTTTTTTTTTTTTTTCATAAATGTGTGGCATAGATTTCCCTGTGTTTATTCTTTTTTTTTTTTTTTTTTTTTTTTCAGTTTCTGGAATATGTTGGTACTGCTAAGCTAAATGGCAAATTTTTTTTTTTTTTTTTTCATTCTTTATTGCATTTACATTTGGTGATACATTATACTGAACTTTTCTCGCATTAAAAGGATAGTACTTTTCCCCTCTCTCACAAGACAGTAAGTGAAAGTTGTTTTTTTTTTTTTTTTTTTTACAAAAAGTAATTTGCTTTCTTACTAATAATTTGGTACCTTTTTTTTTTTTTTTTTTTTTAGTTAAAAAAGAAAATAGGCAGATAGCAGAAACAAAAGAATGTTTTTTTTTTTTTTTTTTAAAGGAGTGAGGGAGGGAGGGAAGAAGGGAGGGATAGAGGCAGTTTTTTTTTTTTTTTTTTGGTTTTATATGAATGAATAAGTGCATAATTTTTCCGGGGGAAATTTTTTTTTTTTTTTTTTCAATTGGATGCCAGACCCATGTGCCAAATACCTGAACTGGCATTTTTTTTTTTTTTTTTTTACAATGTCAAAAACGTTAATCAATCTGAAGCATGATTTACATTTTTTTTTTTTTTTTTTTTAATTTACAATGTTCTTGCTACTCAAAGCATTAAATCAACAGAGTTTTTTTTTTTTTTTTTTGTTTTATTTAGAACTGCAGTTAGGTATTTCATTTCTTTTCTGTTTTTTTTTTTTTTTTTTTTTTTTTTTTAGATGGGAACTTGCTCTGTTGCTCAGGCTGGAGTTTTTTTTTTTTTTTTTTTCTCACTGCAACCTCTGCTTCCTGGGTTCAAGCAATTCTCCTGATTTTTTTTTTTTTTTTTTTGGGATTACAGGTATGCACCACCACGCCGGCTAATTTGTGTATTTTTTTTTTTTTTTTTTTGTTGCCATGTTGGCCAGGCTGGTCTTGAACTCCTAACCTCAGGTTTTTTTTTTTTTTTTTTTCTCAAAGTGCTGGGATTACAGGCGTGAGCCACCGCACCCAGCTTTTTTTTTTTTTTTTTTAGTATACATATGCATATATGAGGAGATAGGGTTATATACCATGTTTTTTTTTTTTTTTTTTACACATACATATATATACACATATACATACATGTATATACACATTTTTTTTTTTTTTTTTTTATACACACACACACACATACACACATTGCTTGCAAATAAAACTTTTTTTTTTTTTTTTTTTAGTCCGTAACAACACATGTATACCATAATGATGAATGATCCTACTTGTTTGTCAAAGTTAGAGCAGCATGGTCATTTAAAAACCATACCTACTTTGACATGGGTTTTTTTTTTTTTTTTTTTCTCCATTAATGAGGAAATCACAATTTTGAAACAGCCAGAATCTTTTTTTTTTTTTTTTTTGCAATGTTTATAAAAAACCTAATATAGCAGGTAGGTATTGGGTTTTTTTTTTTTTTTTTTTTTTCAGTGGGAAGAAGGAAAAAAACTAAATATAGTTTTCAAGCTTTTTTTTTTTTTTTTTTATAAAAACTATGAAACTCTGCTACAAATTCTAGAAGTTCTCCATTTTTTTTTTTTTTTTTTAGATAATCTTCTTAGCCTTGGAATAAAAGTTAAGGCATGAAACTTTTTTTTTTTTTTTTTTTTCATTCTTGAGATACTGTACTTCAGGGTTATGTTTACTGCACTTTTTTTTTTTTTTTTTTACTCAGAAGAAAATCACTTGGTTATTTTGTCCCGG